GAGACGAAAGACGAAAGGTGGTTCCTGGCTTATGGGATGGCATGCTCGTAGGATCCAGGCGAGCACTTCGGTATCTCCATCAGGGCGGATCTGAGCGAGCTGTCTGACCTGGGAGCACCCAAGATTCCTCTGTGTGTGACAGCCCCTGGGGCGAAAATGCCCCAAAGAGGCCTTTGGTTACAGGCCAAGGGACTTGCCTGGCCCAGGGTCAGGTCTCTAACTGGAAGGTGTGAGTGTGTCAGCCAAGCTGCTAGATTCTTTTTGTGTTTTTTAAACTTTTCTTTTTATGTTGGAGTATAGCCAATTAACAATGTTGTGGCAGTTTCAGGTGCACAGCAAAGAGACTGAGCCATACATGTACATGTATCCATTCTCCCCCAAACTCCCCTCCCATCCAGGCTGCCGTATAACACTGAGCAGAGTTCCCTGTGCTATACAGTAGGTCCTTGTTGGTTATCCATTTTAAATATCAAGCGGCTTGATTTTATAAGGGCTTCGTCCTGGGTGATTGAGCATCAAGGGACCTGTTTGTAAATCCTGTTCTTCCTTGTTTCTCTTTTAGCCCAAGGAGCTGGACCCCTCTCCTGTGCTCCCTCTGGACTGTCTTCTTGCTTTTGTCTTCTTCGATGCCAACTGGTGTGGCTACTTGCATCGGCGAGACTTGGAGAGGATCCTGCTTACCCTTGGGCTCCGGCTCAGCGCAGAGCAGGTGCCTTCTCATGCCCCGCCCTAGGCCTCTCTGAGATGCCGCGCCCGACATCCTCGTGTGCATGCGCGGCTCGGGATGCTGTGGTTCTAGGTTCTTGCACGCCATTGTGGGGGGACTTGCACCTTCTCATCCGTGGGCATCTTGGGTGTGTGCTTCCTACAGGCCAAACAGCTGGTCAGCAGGGTGGTGGCCCAGAACATCTGCCAGTATCGGAGCCTTCAGTACAGCCGCCCGGAGGGCCCAGACGGGGGGCTCCCTGAGGAGGTGCTCTTCGGTGCGTACTGTGCTCTGCGGCCTTCTGGGGACAGCGGAGCAGGCTGCTTTCTCCCGGGACCGTCCCTGAGTCTTTTCACGGCCCTTCTAGGAAACCTGGACCTGCTACCTCCTCCTGGGAAGAGTGCCAAGCCGGGCGCTGCCCCTGTGGAGCACAAGGGCCTGGTGTCCCACAACGGCAGCCTCATCAACGTGGGGAACCTGCTGCAGCGTGCGGAGCAGCAGGACAGCGGGCGGCTCTACCTGGAGAACAAGATTCACACACTGGAGCTGAAGCTGGGTGAGTGGCTGGCGGCGCGGGGACCTGTTGCAGCTGGGCGCAGACGCAAGGAGCCGAGCGGGAGGCCCGCCCCTCAGCCTCCAGCCCTCTGGCCCTACACTCCCCTCCTTAGCTTGGCAGTCTTTCCTGTCTTCCCCCGCCAGAGGAGAGCCATAACCGCTTCTCAGCCACTGAAGTGACGAATAAGACGCTGGCCGCAGAGATGCAGGAGCTGAGAACCCGGCTGGCTGAGGCTGAGGAGACGGCCCGGACGGCGGAGCGACAGAAGCACCAGCTTCAGCGGCTGCTACAGGAGTTCCGAAGGCGCCTGACCCCCCTGCAGCTTGAGGTGCAGCGGATGGTTGAAAAGGTGAGCCTCCTGGGAGAGCCGGCCGCCGGGCGGGGAGGCTGGGTCAGGGCAGCCGGCACGGGGCCGGGCCCAGGTTTGCCTTGCTTCCGCCTCCATGCGCTAGTTTCTTATGGAATCGATCAGTCAGCAGCTGGCACCCTGGAGTCTCCCAGGAGGAAGTGCTCAGTAGTCCTCGGATCTTGGCCCTTCCTCTGAGTCCGATTCTCGTGACATCTGTTTCAAACAGGCAGACAGCTGGGTAGAGAAGGAGGAGCCAGCACCTAGCAACTGAGGGCCTGGTGCAGGAGCTGCCATCCTGTGAGGTCAGCGATGGAGCCTGCTGAAGTTAGAGCCCTTCTGGTTCTAGAAAGAAGCTGGAGCAGGACCTGGGAGCCATAGGCAGGGGTGGCTGACCCCTGTGCTCGGCCTCTGTAGAGGAGCTCAGGCCGTCAGGGTGGGGTCTGTCTGTGCCGTGTGGGACGGATGAGTGAGGAAGCCGGTTCCACTTGCAACTAAATCCAACATCTTCTGCACCCCTCGAATGTCATTTTGCCCTCTACCTTGGGATTCCTCCTGGGGCCCTTTCGTCTTGTGCTTTCTCCTGTCCTCTTCCAGTTTAGAATAAGACGGGAGGAAAAGGCTTTCTGAGTCTGTTGTAAGGTGTGATGCCAATAAACTGAAGAAACAGACGCGGAAGCTGGCTGGGGGTAAGAGCCCCTTCCTCCGGATGGCACAAATCCTGCCAGGTTTCAGGAGCAGGTTCTGGGGGGAAGGGTCTCCCGTGGCCATCGCAGGAACAGAGTCAGTCAGTGCTAGCGAGCGTTTAGCGCTGGGCAGTGTTTGGCAGTGAACACTGTTCCAGCCACCCCAGACTTGCCAGAAGAAACCAGCACCTCTTTTCCCTGGCTCCCCATGTTCAGAATGTGGTATTGGCTCTGGCCCAGCCTTTTCCCTGTTCCCCATAAGTCTCGCCTCTTTCCATAATCCGTGGTTTCAGTTTGACTTTGTATATAAAGTGTTCTGTTTTGGTTTTTTTTGGCTTTTTGTTTTTTAAATAAACCAAAGTCAAAACAAACTAAGTGTCCTCCGTAACTCTCCCCTGGCTCCTCTTCTAGGTCTGCCTGTGCTCCGCCCTCCTCCCAACCCTCAGCGCAGCCTCTGCTCAATGCAGGTGTCACCTCCGGAGGGTGGAGGGGTGCAGCTCTGGGCTCTGCTGCCCAGGAGAGGGGCTGCCGCGGGGTCTGGGAAAGACTTGGGGCAGCTCCTCCCCGCCTCTCTTTAGTTACGGCACAACGATACACGGACATTTTACTGAAAACTTTTTACTTGGAAAAATAAAATCCCAAATAATGAGGTGAGACATAAACCCACTGTTGTTGCTTTGAGGCCTGTGACTCGGTCTGTGACATTCTGTGGGGTAGGCTGTTGACACGCGTTGAGTCCCAGCTTCCTAGGGAAGCTGCAAGACGGGGCTCTGCCCTGCAGTTGACCCAAAGTCTAGAAGTGGGCAGAGCCGGCCGCTGTCTTGCCGAGAGGCTGGGGTGAGGGGCCTGTTGCGGCCGGGAGACCGTGGCTTTCACATTGCCCAGGGCAGTGTCGAGGCCTCTCCCAGAACAGGCGAGTCTGAGGTGAAAAGGCAGCAAGGGTGGGTGACTCCCCAGGGTGGCCCTTTTGGAGGTAGAAGTGATCCCAACCGTGCAAGCCAGGCTAAGACTTCAAGGGAGCAGACAAGAGCCCAGGCTCTGGCCCTAGGCCAGGATGCACTTTGGACGGTTCTTTAGGGCCTAAGACAGTCTACACTGCTTACCTGTCGGTGGGTTCTTGCTACGAGTGGGGAGGTGAGAGCCTGCTCGGGGTTCCTGGTTCCAGGCTCATTCCAAGGGCTGGGGTGGTGCAGTGGGAGCTGCCGGTATCCCCATCCTTCTCCCAGGCAAGGGCCCTTTGCTCCCCGATGCCCGAGCCTGAGCTCGTGAAGCGTACGTAAGCTAGAGAGGCCGACTGGTGTTTCAGAGACTTCCGAGGGCCGGGCTCAGTCATCGGCCACGATGGAGAGGGCTCTGAGCTCGCTCAGTCTGGCCTCGTTCTCCCGCTCCCGCTGCTCATCAGGACGGCCGGGCTGGGCAAGCTGCTGGGTCAGGTCTCCGAAAATCTTGTGCATTTCCGAGTAGTACACAACCTGGGGTGGGAACAGGAGGAGGTGGGCGGTGGGGGCTCCCAGGGTACCAGCCCCCCGGGGCACGGCGGGTGGGTGGGCGGAGGGCCGGAGCCTGTGGGAAGTGGAGCGCAGGTCTCGACTCCACTCTCCCTCCACCACCGCCCCTCCCCTTGAGCTGTGTGGCAACCACAGCCCCGGGTCCTTCAGGAGCATTCACTGCCCACTGCCTGGGTGGCAGAGGGAGCGACGGGTCCTTGGTGAGGCGAGGGTGGGGGTGGGGGGTGGTGCTCTGCCTCCGAGCTCTCCAGGCAGCTGAGGGGGGAGGGCTGGGGGGTGTGGGTGGGTCCTCGGCGGGTCCTGGGGGCGCCAGTGAGTCAGGCCCTGTGACCAGGGGCTAACTGCTTTACAGAAGCTAGGAGAAGCTCTCATCCATGGGAGAGGGCACAGCAGCTCCCAAAGCCCTGGGCCAGCCTTAGAAGTAAAGGTGAGAGAGGGGACACGGTTCTAGCCTCCGTCCCTTCCCAGCTCATCCCACCGCCAATCACTGCCTTAGCTGCAGAGCCAGGAAAGCAGGGCCCAGAGGCCAGGCTCACTTCCACGTTTCCCTCTGCACAGGCACCAGAGGTGGGATGGGAGAGGCGCACAGGAACCAGGCGGGGGCAGGCCGAGGAATGGGGGGGACCCATGGGCAGCCCTCAGATGGCTGAGAGCTGAGCAGGCCCAGGGGAGGAGGGCAAGGACCATTTCTGCCTCAGTCTCCACCTCACAACCAAATGAAGTCACGTACTTTCAAGAAGGTGTGCCACACCACTCAAACGCCCCTACGTGTTACCATCTCCAGCCCCAAGTTGTCTCTGGGGAGAAGGAACTCTCCTTCTCTAGCGACCTGGAGTGCCATTACTGGCAAGGCCAGGCCGTGTCTTCCACACTCGCACAGCTGGGCTGAGGGGGATCTAAATCCAGGTCTCCAAACAGGGTTGTCACCTGAGGGGACAGGGCCCGGGCTAGCGCTGGAGGGGGGAGCGGGATGCCCCCCCCCCCCGCCCCAGCTCCCTGCCCTGAGGCGCACTGCGCAGGCTGAGTCACTAGGAATGCTCACTTCTCCAGTGACTAATGGCAGCAGCAGCCGCTGGAGGGGGAGGCTGGCGCTGACGAGGCAGTAAACAACCCTCCGCCACCCTGCTGCCTGGTTACAGGGTATCCCTGGCTCCCAACCTGGGCAGCCTGGAGCTGTCTCCTGTGAGCAACAGGGTGGAGGGGGCAGCGGCACAGGACAGGGAAGTCACAGGTCTCCTGAAACACACCGTCCCCGGCCCAGGCCAAGCTGCTGAAAGGAAGCCCGCACCTCCAGGGGCTGTGCTCTCGGGGCAAGCATGGGAACCTTCCACGTCCCTATGCACGTAGCTCTCTGCCTCATTTTCCCTGAGCCCCTAAGGACACGGTCACTAACAAGTCCCGGATCCAACATTAAACCTGCTCAGGGGTCCTGATCCCAAGTGTCCGGATCCCATGATTCCCATGGGGTTTGGTGTTCTCTGAAGACACAGGCTGGGAGGCAGGAACCAGGCTTTTCCTGGGTATCTGTGATTGTGGACTGTGTAAGAACGAGAGTGCCCACTGGAGGGCGCCAGACACTCAGGCCCAGCGGCGAGGCGGGCTGGAGGCAGACGGGGACATGTTGAGCCTTCAGCTTTGTTACCTGGTGGGGAAGGTGGCCGAGTGCTGAGCACCTGCAGTCACCTGGCGGGCGGGAGGCGAGGGTGTTTCCCACGTGGAGAAGACCCCTTGGTTTCGGCACCTCAACCTTCTCTCTGTTACAGATGGGGAGAACACTCCCTGCCAAGGGCTTGAAGGACGTGGGGAGGGGAAGGAGGGCAGGAGCCACACGTTGAGTAGCCCGAGGCATGGGGTCTCGGGCCCGGTGCTACCATGGTGCACATCCACCCGCGCCCAACCCGAGCGCCTTTCCGCTGGAAGATGCACCACGGCCTGGCGCCCAGGCGGGGGCCCTGCGCATGGCTCTCGCCGGGGTTTAGGGACCCCTCCAAGGGTTGCTAAAAGTCGAGACACCCCCTAGTCTTCCACCAAAAGAGAAGGACTAACTAGGGAGGGGAGGGGGTGCAGGGTCCTCGGAAAAAGGCCTTCACCTGTGGCCCCTGTCCCTGACCTGGGCCCGCCAGGCAAGCGACCTGCCCATCAGGGTGAGGCGCTGGAGGTGCGGCCTGGTTTCCTCTTGCTGCTCGTGGAGAGAGAGAACTTCAGCGAAGAACTCTTGGACGACAAGGGACCTCATGTGAAAGTTGGGATTAACCAAAGAGCAACGGAGAGACCGAAACGGGAATTCCAGCCAACAACCGGGGGCGCCCTGCATTCCTCCCTCGGGGGCAGGGCTGGGGGCAGAGAGTGACTGAGCCCCGCTTCCGGTGTGGGGAGCAGGGCGGGGCTGGCATGAGATGGGTCTCCAAAGCCCGCGACTGCCTCCCGAGGGAAGAAGTGTTGGGCCATCATGCGGGGTGGCAGCGGCCTCACCTGTGCTCGGATCAGGGACTCAAAGCTGGGCTGGAAGTAGTCCAGTCGGCTGTTGTAGAACCGCGGCATCTCATCCAGGAGCTGCTTGTTCTTGGCCTCAAAGTCATCCCGCACGGGCCGAAGCTCTTCTCGGGCCTGAGGAGCAAGACTCTGGGTGGCACAGCTCTTGCTGGCTCATCCAGCTTCCTGAGTGGGGCACGGGGGGTGGTGGAGGTGCTGTGTGTGTGTGTATGGTGGTGGTGGGGGGAGTCAGGACATCCGGTGTCTTGGTCCCTGGGTGAAGGAGGAACTTGGCCTCCTGTCCCTGGGTGAAGGAGGAACCACGTGGCCCCCTGTCCAGCCCCAGCCCCTTCTCCCCGGTACCTGGTGGAGTTTGGCCAGCACCGGCCCTGTCTTCTCCTTCTCCTCGTACTTCTCCACCTTGGCCTGCAACCTCCTGTAGTCCTGCAAGGCCTGCTCCCGCCGTTTCACGGCCATGTTGAGGCTCGGGAAGACACTGCCAAACCTGCCGGCCACAGTGGGTTGGAGACGGGCTGTTCTTGGAGCTGCAGGCTGGCAGCTCACCACTCATTCAAAAATATGCATCGAGCGCCTACCAAGCGCCAGACTCTGTTCTAGGTCTTGGGGATCTTGCTGTGAACGAGATAGATGGGGCCCTGGCCTTGGTGGGGCACAGGCTGAGAATGTCGCCTTGGGGTAAGGCCAGGGCAAGGAAGACAGGGTAAGGGCCACTCCACCGACCTGGGTAAGACTCAGCAGGTCATGAATGCATGATGCCACTGATGCTGCCACTGCCCTTTAGCCCCCACCCCGCGTTTCAGAGACCTATGCTGCAGCATGGAGGAGCTGACCTGGTACAGCTCCTCCATGCTGTTGACCTGGTACAAAAAGATTCAGGTTCTATTAATTAGCATCAGGCATCTCGGAAGAAACAAAAGACAGATGAGCTAGCAGAGCCAGGAGAGCTCTCTGGACAATCACGGAGGAACAGGGGTGGACAGAGCTCAGGAAGCCATTTGAGCAGATGGAGACAGCACCCCTTGGGAGTGGGCCCAGACCCAGGGGTGCTCCAGGAGCTAGGCCAAGGGCAGCTGCTCTGAGGGCGGTATCAGAAAAGCTGGGAGATCAAGCTTCTGTCCAACATCTTCCATTAGAAAAGTGAAAAAACTGAGACCAGGGAGATGACATGACTTGTCCAAGGTCACAATTAGGTAGTGACAGTCCAGCAGATAACTCAAGTGTCCCAGCTCTCCCTCTGGCACCTCCCTACCACCTCATGCTGCCAACAGCAGGTGACAGACCTGCAACCGAAATCTACTCCCATATTACTCAGCCATTAACAACAAGTGAAGTGATGCCATTTGCAGCAAGATGGATGGACCTAGAGATTATGACACTAAGTGAAGTAAGCCAGACATAGAAAGACAAGTATCATATGATATCGCTTATATGTAGAATCTAAAATATGACACAAATGAACTTATTTACAAAATAGAAACAGACTCACAGACATAGAAAACAAACTTGCGGTCACCAAAGGGGAAAGGCGGGGGAGGGATAAATGATAAATTAGGAGTTTGGGATTAACAGATACACACTGCTATATATAAAACAGATGAACAACAAGGTCCTACTATATAGCACAGGGAACTATATTCAATATCTTATAATCATCTATAACAGAAAAGAATCTGAAAAATATATATACACACATACACATGTACATATACATGTATACACACCTGTATATATACATATATATACATGTATATCTATAACTATATATAAAAAACGGAATCACTTTGCTGTACACCCAAAACTAAGACAACCTTGTAAATCGACTCTACTCCTATTAAATGATGACAAGCTACTCCCAGCCTTTTCTACCAACTCTGCCGGAAAAACAGGAATCCTCATGCTCTACTGTTGAAACAGCCAAACTGTCAAACCAAATGTTTGAGGAAGACGACTGCAGGAGCTTTTCCTGCCCCACCAGGACTACAAGAACCACAGGGCAGTGCTAGGGTGGCTGTTCAGAAAGAGCAGTAGCAGAGGCTCTGGCATTTTTGGCACCATGGGCATAATCTTTGTAACTAGGATCTTCTTTGACTGGGAAGGGCAACACAGTCTTGGGGTGGACCCAGGGCAGGACCGCATCCCAGGCAGGAATGCTGCATTCTCCTTGACTAATGAGTGTGGGAGGAGGCCAGGCCAGCCTGCAAGCAGGTTTTCTGGAACTGGACAGAAGATGGGGCAGCTTCCTTGAACACAAAGCCTGAGGGGCTGGAGCGTCTATCTCGCAGCTGGGAGCCCGAGTGGCCGGTGGAGCCCCGGCCTCAAGCCGAGGTGACGGTGCAGTGGTTATTCGGGGGGGTTGCGAAGCACACAGAGGGAGACCCAGGACCAGAAGCAGAGTCGGTTCTTCCCAGAGCAACTCAGAGAAGATGAAAGATGGGGCAGGAAAAAGCCTCAACAAATCAAGAGTCCACGTGACATAAGAGTAATGAATACCTCTGCCAGGGAACAGAGGATAGACACTTGACTGACGCATAGTGCCCCAAACAAAGCTATAGGCCCAGGCAGCAGAGTTTGATGAAACAGATAGAAAGGCCACTAAAGCGGATTCTTCTCACTCTCTGGGTGTCCGTAATGGGCTCACCACGTAGCTGGAGATGCTAACGTGGGCCAGACCACCCACGCTTCTCCGAATCCTCTCCGAATCCTCAGTCGCAGGCCCCTCTACACTGCAATCAACCCCTGAATGACTGCTCTGCCGGGCAGAAGACGCAGGCCTACTTGGTGCTCTGCAAACTGGACCAGCCACGCCCAGGACACAAGGTCCCCCTGGGGTAGGGCTGAACACGCCTGGGACGGCTGAGACCCTCTGGGGGAGCTGGACTCACTTCACTGCTTTTGCCTCAGGCAGTGCTACGACGGGGTCTCGGACGCCAGGTGAGCCCCTCTCCCTCGCCGGCGGAGAGGCATGTGGCTCGGGGGAGCAGGTGCACCTGGGCCTGGGAAGCCGCCACGCCACCTCCCCCTGCACCCCACGTCCTCGGGGAGGAGGGTGGCACGAGTAAGGAAGGAATGTGCGGCACGGGCGTCATCCGCGGGTGGTCAAGCAGCTCTCGATACTCTGACCCCGGCAGCACTTGGGCCAGTGCTCACAACCCTCTTCCCCCCATAAAGTCCACTGGGCTTTATCTCCAGGGCCAGGGTCGGATACAACAAGGCTGACTACAACATGCTGGGACTGGGCTGGCCTACAGAGGGTGTAGAAATCCAGCCCCAGGGCAGCTCCTGAGCCAGGGGGAGAAGGCGTGGATCCAGGGCTGACTGATTTCCAGGCAACCTCAGGGGACGGGTGTGTCCACAGGACACTACCTTCAGCCTTCCGGAAGCAAGGCCACGTATCCTCTGGGGGGAGGAAGCGGCTGCTCTGTGAGGCCCGAGGGAAACTTTGGTCAGCACGCTGACTTCCACCTCCCACGGCAGACGGCACCCTTAGCTGAACCCAGAGGCCGCGGAGGGCTCAGCTTGATGTCCGCCGCTGCCGAGGGACGAGGGACGTGACTCCTTGGGCCCTGGGCCTCGGACCGCCCGGGTAGGTGTCACGCCCTTCTCACAGTAAAGCAGGGAAGCTAAGGTCAGGCAGGGGAGATCAGACACTGTAATCGGAGGTAGCTGACAAAAGGGGGGGTGGGGACCGAACTCTGTAATCCCTGGCTCAGGTCACTGCCCCACTGGGGCCACACCGCCTCGTTTTCCGCTTAGAAGTAACAGGAAGAACTCTGCCAGCTCCACGTGCCGGGGGGTATAAACACCAGGGTGCTGTTCGGGGAAAGGGGCTCCTGGCAGCAGACACCCCTCCTCGTGTGGGGTGTTTTAGTGCTGCCCCTACCTTCTCGTCAGGGCAGGGAAGCTGCAGGGAGGCAAGGACAAGCATAGGCTGGTCCCCAGAGCCCGGGCCCCTTCCAGACATGCCCCTGGGACCTGACAGGGTACCTGCTGACTTGACCTGACAAGGATGGGGTGATCCAGCTCTCCCTGGGGCACCAAGCCTGCACTTTTATGGGGCTGCCACGAAGGAGCAAGGCTGCGGGCCCAGAGCCTCTCTGCTCACTGCCCGGCGTCCCCCTGATAATTAGTGGTGAGGGGCACATGGGAGTCCCTGGGCTAGAACCCCAGGAGGGACTCTGCCCTCCACATACAGCGCCACTCCAGCCCACGATACCTCCCTCTCCGCTCAGGGGAGTGCCCGGCTCTGCCATTTTGAGAGTTCAGCTCCGTTCCTGCTTCCGCAGAAGGGGAAGAGACTTGGAGGCACAGGCCTGTCCTGTCCAGGGCTCTCCCCACTCCAATGCACTGCCCCGCCTCGGCAGTTATCATTCTGGTCCGTTTCTCGGGGGATGCCGCATGGCTTCTACGCTACATCCTAAGCTCCTAAAGTTTGAATCGCAGAGAAGGGAGGACAGGGCTGGGCCTACCCCAGGCGCTCCTGAAGCTCTGCCCATTTCTTGCCTGTCCTAAGGTGGGGCAGCAAATGGTAAGCGTGGGGTGAAGAGGCATCAAGAGGCGGAGGGAAAGGGGGAGGGAGGGAGGCTGGCTGGGAGGTGGGGCATGCCTGCCATTCCTCAATCTGTGCCCACACAGCCGGGATCTTCCACCCACCAGGAAAGGGAAATTGAAAGCATCCCCATCCCACCCTGTGAACACGGCCCAGAGACTGGGGGATTAGAGGCCGAGCCCCCTGGGGGGAGGCCGGGGGCGGCGGGGTGGCCATGTGGCGATGTTCCTCATCAGAGGACAGGAAAGCTGCAGCTTCCTGTTTCCGGTGCTGGGGTCCCTGGGAGCTTCTCTCCTGGCAAGAGGCGGCAACAGGCAGTGCCGGGTTTATGTGGTTGGGGGAGATCGCATGTCGGCCACGGGATACAAAGAAGCCAGCCGGGCAGGCAGGCAGGCAGGCCTGGGGGGCTTGGGCAGAGGTCAGCGGATCTGCTGCGGAGATGGTGGCCACCCCCTCGGCCACTCACCCACCTTCCTGGCAGGTGGCGCACGGCTGGAGTGGTGGGAAGCAGCCACGATTTCTCTCCATTTGGCTCCAGAAGCCAGGCATCAGATTTCAGGCCCGCCTCGGTGGTGGTGAAAGCAAGGCGGAAGTCAGTCCCCAGTTCTCTGGGCCGGTGTCCCCTGCCTAGCTCTGCCAGCCATAGGTGTGCACGGCAGCCTCCGTGGCAGCCCCTGGGACCCCCGTGGGCACGGTCAGCTCAGCCAGGGGTCCTTCCCACCCAGTTCTGAACCCTCAGGCCTGGAGACGGGGTCACAGAGCTACAAGCAGCGGAGCTCTTTCCGACGCTCCCTCCTGAGCTACTGGCCTGCCCAGCACCCTGCTCCTCACATGACACTGCGACCTGGGGCCGAGCAGGGGCTGGGGACAGGGGCCCGGGGCAGGAGCGGGGAGGAATCCCTGTGGGCCAGGTTCTGCCTGCCCTCCACGGCTAAGCCTCCAGACAGCCCAGCTTAGAAAGAGCTTTGCCTAACCCCACCCCTTGGACCTGAACAGGGAACAAGAGCTCAACAACCTGAACGCCAGGGGTCACAGGATCAAAACCTGCTCTCTCCATCGTCCTCCAGGCCCTGATCCAGGCCTCATGGTAATTAGCACAGCCTCATTACCCAGGCCCTGGTGAGGCAACTGCCAGGGACCACCACAGAAGAGGTAATAAAGTGCAGCTGCTGGGCTGGAGCGGGAGCCTCTCTAGGCCGGAGCCGAGCTGGGAGAGGCCAGGGAGGAAGATGAAGTGATTCGGGAGCTTCAAGGCAATGTTCCTGCCTGTCTCCCGCCCAGCGCCACCCCCCTAGGGGACCCGGGGAATAGGCCTGTCTGATCACTGACCAGAGCCTGCTGGACAGAAGATGAGTCTCACAGAAGAATTTCTGACCCTGGCAGGTCATGAATCGGGAGACCTTCCCAGGCGGGACCCCGCTGCAGCGCCCTTTCCCGTGTGCGGCCACCCCCCACCCCTCCCACCGCTTCAAAAGCCACGTGCGGCAGGCAGCTGCTTCCCCCAACCCGGCCGAGCGAGATGAAAGGCCTCACTCATCTCCGTGGAGGCCCGGCCAAGATCTCTGCTAGCTTAACTCCACAAGCTCTGGTCCCACTGGTTCTCGGTCAGAAACAAAGGGACAATGGCAGAATGACCACAGAAGCGCCAGCCGGCCACTGTGGAGGATCAGACAGGCCCTGCCACCACTGAGCATGCCTGGCCAGGCAGGTGCTCTGGAGCTACCGGAGTGTCAACCCCAGGGCCACAGATCAGGGAGCTGGTGTCCCCTGGAGGTTCCTGTCCACCCCGTGTGAGTCTGGGGACAGGCTGCCAGAAACAATATTAGGTCCCCAAGTGGCTGGTTGACCTGCCTGTCCAGTAACTGCCCTCAGGCCTGTGGTCCCCCCGATGACCTTTACTCACTTTTTTAAGGGTTCAATCACAGTCTTTTGTATCTGGTTCACCTGTCAAAAGAAAAACCCGATGGCGTCAAAATTGGGGGGAAGCCAGGGCTTCCCTGGTGGTGCAGGGGTTAAGAATCTGCCCGCCAATGCAGGGGACACAGGTTTGAGCCCTGGCCCGGGAAGATCCCACATGCCGCGGAGCAACTAAGCCCATGTGTCACAACTACTGAGCCTGTGCTCTAGAGCTTGCAAGCCACAACTACTGAGCTCACATGCCACAACGACTGAGGCCCACGTGCATAGAGCCCGTGCTCCACAACAAGAGAAGCCACTGCAATGAGAAGCCCACGCACCGCAACGAAGAGTGGCCCCTCGCTCTCCACAACTAGAGAAAGCCCGTGCACAGCAACGAAGACCCGACGCAGCCAAAATTATAAAAAACAAAAACAAAAACTGGGGGGAAGCCAGACTCTTCCCAAAAGGGGGAGCCTCCAAGTTCCTGAGAAGAGAAAGGGAGCAGGACAGGGGTACCCCGAGAGCCCCAGGCAGGGAGACACCCCTAACTGCCGCTGGAGTGAGGCAGAGATGACAACCGGGGAGCCTGAAGGGTGACAAGGCGCACCGGCCTTGTCCCGGGTCAGTTCTCATTCTGTGAAGCCGATGATGGCCTTGCTCAGTGAGGAGGCTGGGCGGGCAAGTCTGAGGGGCTACAGGCGTGGGTGGGCAGAGCCGGCCTGAGTCTCCCTCGTGGCCCCATGTGAGTGATGTGAGCTAGTGGGAGCTACGGGAAGCAGCCGGTGCGGGGGCAGGGTGGCCAGGGGAGAGCTCACAGGGCTGGGACACTCAGGTGTCCAGAGAGGAGACCAAGCCCCGATAAGGACTCCATGCAGCACTCCGCCCAGAAAGAAGCTTCGAGGAGGGGGAGACCAAGACCCCAGTCACCTTTTCCTGGTTGAAGGCATCCATCCGCTTCATGGCCGTGTCCAGGGCTGTCACCATGTTCAGAAAGTCCTGGTCTTGCTCGCAGAGGGGATTGGAGAGCAAGTCCAAGGATATCTTCACAGCGGACTTGGACATGGCTGTAAGAAGTCAAAGCTCAGTGAACCAATGACAGGGCATGCTTCAAGGTCTTGTCCTCAGGACTCCCTGTCGTCCTTGGGGCCAGAGGCCTGCATCCGGACGACCTCCATCCATGGCCACAGGCCATAAACTACACAGTACCCCAGAGGCACAAGACACCAGTCCTTATGGTGTAATGTGCATTCCTGATACTGCTCTGGGTAATTCTTTTGAGCAGATTTACCTGTTGCAATGACTTACTTTCCAAACTCTGGATTATAACAGAATCATTTGGGCGGGAAGCTGTAAGAAGTATGTATTTCTAGCTCCAAAGATTTATTTCAGTAAGCCTGGAATCCAGGAATATGCATTAAAAAAAAAAAAATCTCCAGGCGGTTTGGATGTGAAGCTTGGTTTGGGGCTCCCTCACAGAAAGAGTAGCATGGTATCTACACCAGAGAGGCAAACCTACTGTACAGCTAGAGATAAGATTTTAGGCTTTCAATAACTCAACTTTGCCATAGATGACACCCAAAGAATGGGTGTGTTCCAATAAAACTTTATTGACAAAACTAGGCCGGATTTGGTATGGCGAGGCAACCTGTTGGCAGCTTTGGAGTTCTTGGTCCCGTGAGAGTTTTCAGGCCTCCGTTACCAGGAAACGAAATCCTAGAGGGGCAGGAAAGGCTGGAGAAGGGCCTTGCTTGCCCCACAGTGTCTGTACTAGTTTCAGGGGCTCACGGGAAAACGTGTTTTTGATCTATTTCTTATTTTATGTCATTAAATTTAAGGTGCTATTAACTGTAACACACACCATTATTGCATAAACCGTGAAGAAAAAAAAAATGCTGCCAGTGAAACCAGAGCACACTACTAAGTGTTATATACCTTGATTTCTCTTGAATCTGGGGGTGTGCTGCAGCCCCCTAGCAAAAGGGCAAAATATGAGAGAAGACTAGAAATGTAAACTTCCCAGAGATGTTGAAGCAACGGAGGCAAAAACCCTCTTAAAAAAAAGTAAAGTGACTTTGTAGGCTTAGGAGCAAACTCACGTGTCATTTGATTGGATTATGAAATGGTCACAGACTGCGTAATTAAAAGATAGAAAACGAGGACAAAACTGGAAATGTTTTTTTTTTTTTTCTTTTCTTTTTTTTTTTTTTTGCGGTACGCAGGCCTCTCATTGCCGTGGTCTCTCCCGTTGCGGAGCACAGGCTCCGGACGCGCAGGCCCAGCGGCCAGGACTCACGGTCCCAGCCGCTCCGCGGCATATGGGATCTTCCCGGACCAGGGCACGAACCCGCGTCCCCTGCATCGGCAGGCGGTCTCTCAACCACTGCGCCACCAGGGAAGCCCTGGAAATGTTTTTGAAAAATTTCTTCCCCTAATTTTTTTTTAATAGTTGAGGGAAAACCCCCAAAAGTCAGGGGTTGGGAGGGAAGACTTTCTTCCCAATTTTCCTTTTCTTTCCTAACGCCTCCACATCTTCACGCCAATGTCTCTTTGCTAGAACCATCTGAAGTCAATGAACGGTGAGAGTCTGTGGGGCGGCCCTTCGTCTGGGAGCCCCACCCCGAGACATTGCCGGCCTGTGTGAACACAGCAGGGTGCCGTGGCCTCCACTCTCCTCTGCAGCAGCTCACATCCCTTGCTCTACCTCTACAGTGACAGGGGAGGGGCATGGTCAGCCCAGCACAAACCAGGAGGCTGGCGGGCTTCGTACCTTAGGGAGCCCAGGAGTCCTGGACCGCACGTGGGTCTCTAGAGCCCTGACACAACCTGGGAGTGCAGGGGTCGACGAGGACCTGGCAGGGTCTGGTCACGCCTACTTGGTCTTATTTTGGACCCACAGCTTTGGATGTGAGATCCTGTCCAGGCAGCAGCTCAGGAGTTTCCAAGACCAGGAAAGGTGTAATTTGATTCCCCCCGACCGTGTGGAGCAGTGGTTCTCAAAGTGGGGTCCCTAAGCCTCACCCAGACCTGATGAATCAGAGAGTCCTGGGGTGGGCCGGGCGACCCACACTGCAGCAGGCCCTCACTGACTCTGATGCCTCAGCCAACAGTGTGCGAGGCTCTCTGGCCTGGACTGGGGGATGCAGGCTTTGGGGTGGGTGAGGGCGCCACTGTTTCAGGAGGGCTTCCGCTGCCCAGACTCCACGTCTGACTCGGGCCAGAAGCAGCCAGAAATCCTAGGTGCCAGGGGTCACCCATTTGTCCTGATTTCTTTGTTAAAAACCTACACTCTCTACAGCCAGACTCCAGTTCATAGATCCCTGACGTTCTGTCCTTTCCGTTCACGCTCTGAGAGTGCAGCTGTGTGGAAAAGCAGGAAGGAAGAGAAGCACAGGCCACAGCATTTCCCTACTAGAAAGACAGCGGGAGCCACAACGAAAGATGGAACCCAGGCAACTCAGAGCTAACTACAAAACAGATAACGGACAGACTGAAAATCAGACCCGTGGCTTGCTACACACACAGTCTGGAGACGCCGGGGTCAGAAGCAGGGGTGGTCATGGCCAGACCCCCCCACGACGCCCCCATCCTCTGGAGGAGCACTGGCCGGAGGCTCTGGGGCACAGACCACGGGAGCTGCCCTCCACCCGCCAGTGGTGGCTGCTGCCGCCCCACGGAAAGCAGGGAGTGGTGATCTGCTAAGTGAAGGGTGACCGCAAGCCACTTCTCAGGGACATCTGCGGGGCACCTACTAAGGGCACTTCCTTCTAAGCCAGCCCCAAAGGGACTGAGCGAGGAGGGTGTCCACCTCTGCCCCTCCCCCATCCAGGCCGGGAACGGGGGACGGGCCGCCTACCCAGGTCGGCGTCCGTGCTCTTCTTCATGTCCTTCTGCAGCCGCTTGGTCTGCTCCTCCAGCCTGCAAGGCAGGGACACGGGCCTGGGGACCTGGCATCACCCACCTGCTTCTGCCCCCGTTCTGCCCGTCCCCCTGAGCCGAGCCCCACGCGACACTCAGGTCGCCTGCCAGGAGGAGGAAGGGCCTGCTCTGCGCGGATGTCCCCACTGACTGAAGGGCCACCGCGAGCTTGGCGCGAGGCACCCAAAGGCTGAGTTAACGACTGTCACAGAGCCACCACCCCGGGGGAGAATTTCTGGCAGGTGTGAACTGAGCTGCCCTCAGCTCCCAGGGTGAGCGGACGAGGCAGCCCGGGCAGAAGGCTCTTTTCCTTCTCGGAGCAGCCCCCTCCCTGCCCTCCCTTCTGGGGGTTGACACTCACTGCTGGAGTTTTCCATACTCCCTTTCAAAGTCTCTTTCCACCTGTAAGGGAAGCGACAACTCAATCACTGGAGGAATGACAGCAGGCTGGAGAAAATCTGTCACCTACAAAACTCCCTCCACGCCCTCCCCGCACCCCTTCTGCAGAAAACACCACCATCCAGTCCACACAAGCACCAGCACACCGTTCATGACAGAAGTCCTGTGTTCCCAAATTAATTAAGTGTTTGACTTAGGTCAAAGGACGCCCCTCCCAGACGGGCCAGCCAGGCAGGTACCAGCGGATCCCGGCTGGCTCTGTTCTTCCACCTCAGGGAGCGAGGCTGGGCTGTGCTCCCTCCCCTCCCCTGCGGGGTCTGGGTAAGGGGCTCAGAGTGTGATGGAAACTCATCATCGGGGAAGAGGCAGGGCACGGAGGAAAGCGGGCGGGTTGGAGTCCGGTCCTGTCCCTGCCGCTCAGCAGCTCTGGGGCTGGAACGGCTCCCCTCCCCTCCCGGTCCTGGTTTCCTCACAGGTCCAGAACCTGCTGCGTTCAGGGTGGATCGAGAAAGACCTGGTATCCCCGCTCTGTGCGCTGGGATGCAGCCATCACAGATACGATTATCGACTCAGGCAAGGCTCTCTAAATTCTGGACGAGTCATCAGATTTCCCTGATATTTAGACCGAGTGGGTATGCGCCCTGACCCCAGTTCTTCGGCCTACAGGGCAGGTGAAGCCAGGAGAGTCACTTGCACTTCTAGAGCCTGAATCTCCCCATCTGTAAAGTGGGGCCCAGGCAACGGTCGCAGGAGAGTGGTCTGCGGAGTCCTGATGTCTGAGGGCCGATAGGAGGACGGAGCCCCCGCCTCTGCTTTGTCTTCTTCCAAGGAGGCCGAACAGCTCCCTGCATGCCTTGTTGAGGCACCACACGCTCCCGTGACCGGCTTCTCCTCCATCACTCACCTGGCAGGCAGGTGTGCTGACGGCCCTCACCGCACTGAGGTCACCGGGACAGAGGGGGAGTCACCTGAGCAAGGTCACACCACTAGTAAGCGGCAGGCCTGGGGTCTGAACACGGGCCAGGAGGCCTGGTTCCCAGGCCTGCGCCCTTTACCGTCATTCTACCTAAGGGGGAAAAGCTCTGGCTGATGAACTAAAGCCATGACCTATGAGAGCACCTTCCTGGCGGCTGCCCCGAGACTCCTGCCAGGGAGAGCCGTAAATCCTGGCTATCACAGGTTGGAGGTGAAGGAGTGTGAATTTGCAGTGATCATCAAAGCCCCGCTGTGCCTCACCAGGAGTCTTCTAAAACCCCGTTGGCCTCATGCTCCATGTTTGGATTAAGGTAAATTTGACAGTCGTAGACTGGCAGAACATTATTCAGGCCAATTATTTCACGAGATAAATGAGAACGCCACCCAGAGGGGGGAAGTGATTTACATCAGGACACAGAGCTAGTGTGTGGCAAAGCAGGGCTAGAATTCAGACTCCTAATCCAGGCCTTTTTTTTTTTTTAAACTGCATTCATTAATCCCACAAACATTTATTGAGCACCAATTAAGTGTAGTGCATTCTGCCAGGTGCCAGGGATACACTGGTGAATAAAACAGACACGGGGGCTTCCCTGGTGGTGCAGTGGTTTAGAGTCCACCTGCCAATGCAGGGGACACGGTTTGAGCCCTGGTCCGGGAAGATCCCAAGTGCCTCGAAGCAACTAAGCCCGTGAGCCACAACTACTGAGCCCGCGTGCCACAACTACTGAAGCCTGCGCACTTAGAGCCCGTGCTCCACAACAAGAGAAGCCACCACAATGAGGAGCGCATGCACCACAACGAAGAGTAGCCCCCGCTCGTCGCAACTAGAGAAAGCCTGCGCGCAGCAATGAAGATCCAACGCAGCCAAAAATAAATAATAAAAAAAACCCAAAACAGACACGGGCCCTGGTCGGGAGATCAAAAGAACAAACACACACGTGACGGGGGGCTGTGGGGAGCCCCATGGAGGGCAAGGAAGGGCCCAGTGAGGCCTGACGCAGAGACCCTACTTAGCATCCGACCCCAGGGCTTGACAATGGGGCTGTCTTGCATGGAGACGGCTCACCTTCCTCATTTGAACTGTAAAACTCAGAAGCGGAAACACATGGTCTTCCCCTTACATTATGATCCTAACATCTGGGACCTTCTACAAAGTTGTGAAGTAAAACTCATCACTGGGAATTCCCTGTCAGTCCAGTGGTTAGGACTCCGCATTCTAACAGACGAGGGCCCAGGTTCAATCCTTGGTCCCAGAACTAAGATCCCAAAGCCATGTGGTGCAGCGAAATCCATCAATCAATCACGGGTGCCCTAGCCTTCTGCCCTACAGTCTTTTCCTCTCTTTTCAACAGACCCACTTCTTCTCCATCTGGGAACCCAACGTTTTCATCATCACCTTTTGTATGACCCACCAAAAGATCCTCTCAAGAAAAAATTCACAGTTCACTCCCGCTAAAGTGCATGTGCCTGATAAAAGTTTAAAGTGCTACCTAAGTCGGGGGATTTGTAGCTGGACAGGAATCAGAGTCTTAGCTGAAGGTCTGAACAGCTGCTGGTGTGACCGTGGATGGGAGATTTGTTCTGGAGCAAATGGGCCTCGCCCTGCCCTTTGGAGTCCGCACTGAAGTTCGTCTAGTCCTTTTTTCAACAGCGCCCGGGGGAAGGCGGTGGAGGGGAGCAAGCAGACAGAAGATATGAACTCTGATACTAGATGAGGAGCTTTAGAAACATTTCCAACATTTTGAGCCTCGGTTTCTTTTCTAATAAAATGAGATAGCTTCACTTGGTCTCAGCCCATGGGAATCTCAGGTGGCTGACAAGGCAGTGGGCTGACAGCATCAGCCTTGCTGGCTTGTTTGGAGGATTAACGAGCAGTACGTGTAGAGCACAGAGCACAGCGCCCGGCTTACACACGGGGTCTCCCTGCTCCCCTCCACTGGGGTGGTGAGAGGACCGGGGGTCTGAGGAAGCAGACTGGTCTGTGACCCTCTGGCACAGAGCACTCAGTCAGCTGGCAGGTGGGGTAAAGCCTGGGCCCTGTGCCTGGGGCCACAGAGGGGCCTCCCTCCACTGGACACGTCTCCTTTCTTACTTTGTAGGATGTGACAGCTGAGCTGAGTCTTTACGTCGCACAAGTATTTTTTCTGCCGAAAAGATGAAGTTGAAATTAAGGATGCCCTGGCCAGGGTCCAGCTCTCCTGAAGACCAAGAGCAGAGGGCAGGTACCCTGGGGGTGGGTGGGCGAGAAGGGAGGCGAGGGCCAGGCTCCCCTCGCTCTCTTGCGCAATCCCCAGCGTGCTGTGTGGGATGTCAGGGAACACCTGGTCTCCCGGGCTGCCACTGCTGGGACTTGCACAGAGAAGGACCGCAGGTTTCCAACTGGCTGAGGAGAAACTCAGGGTCTCGCGCTGGAAGCGGAGAAGTGTGTCGGGGTGGGAGCTTGAGTCTTCTGCTCTCCCAGCTCAAGGCCATCTGACAGCCTAAGAGAAGGTCAAGAACGCTTCACCTCTTTTGTCGGTAGCCAGCTGGCGTTGCTTCCACAGCTCACTGCTCCTGAGGTCTCTCTCCTCCCCAGGGGAAAGATCTGAGAGGCACAGCACCGGGATTCTAGGCCCTCAGACAACGGCTGAGGGGATCAAGGGACACACTGGAGTCTCATTCCAAGGTATATCCGTGCAGAGGGAAGGAGCCAAATACAAAAGATCTGAACATCTCTGGATGCTTGATGCCTTTGCCAAGAAGGCAACTGGACTCCAGTCAACAATGCAAGTGTAAACACATGTGCACGACTGTCGGCAGGTCAGGGTGGGCTGGGTCAGGCTGGCGAGGTCAGTGCAGGGAGGGTCAAGCACAGAGACTGCCTCAGCAACCCCTGCATTCTCGGAGGCTCAGGGCTGCAGGAGGGGCCGTGCTGCTCACAGCTTGTCCCCAGGGCCTAGGTCAGGCTGCCACACGGCAGGAGCTCGGTGGTTGTTAAGTGAATAGTGGGCTGAGTTCCCACCCACTCACACTCATGGTGAAGGGAAGAGGGAGGCCAGCAGGCAGGGCCAGGCTCTAATCCCGGGGCTAAGCGGAGCCAGATTGGATCTGAGGCAGAGCGAGCCTTGTGCCTTCTGAGAAACTCCTCTTCCAGGGTGGCTCAGGGTAGAGAGCAGCCTGCCTTTGGTTTGTTACAAAGGGTCCCTCCACTTTGCACGTGAAAACCCTTCTCAGGTGAAGGCGCAACCTGCAGGGACTCCCATCTGCCTTGACCTTCCAGAGCGCCTGCCTAGCTGGGAATCTAGGTGTGTGCGAGACCCAGGGAAACCCTTGCTTCAATGTGCGAAGTCTTCCATCATGCCGGTTGCAGAGGGAGGTGCAGCTTCTCTTTGCCGTACCAAGATGCTCCAGCTCCTTCATGAGCTGGGGCAGCGGGAGGGGACTAAGCAGAAGGTTAGGACTGGAAAGTGGGGGAGTGTTTGTCCTTCCATTTCAGCCCCAGTGGTCAGCCCCTGCAGAGAACACGCCCTTCCAGCCAAAGCCTTGACAATACTGGAATCTGTGTTAATAACCTGGGCACAGCAGAATGGGGAGGGCAAACGCACAATGCTTTCTTTGTGTCTGATGGTTGGGTGCCTTGAGCCAAAAATCTCCTGAAACTCCCTGAAGATAACATGAGCTTTTCTTCCCATGACAGGGGTGCCACGACTTCCAATAACCCAGACAGCCACATCTGCTCCCCTCCCCGAGAGTGCCTGGACAGGAAAAATAGAGTGCGTCACCCATGTTCGGGGGCAGCTGCCAGAGATGCTGAGACAACTGCACAGCCTCGGCCTGTTTGGGGGCCAGGAGGGGGCTTGTGCGGGGGAGGGTAGGGAGACTCCGAAGAGGTAGGGTCTTGCTACATAGACTTCAGTGCCTCTGGGGAGTTGAGGAAGCAAAGGACTCTATTCCTCGTGAGAGATCAAAGGCCCAGCCTACCATTTCATTGTACTGGGGAATCCAGCTGCTGGGGACAGGCTGGGTCCTTGGTGGTTTATTAAGAGTCAAATCAGCTATCGTCTCATAATGCAGTTAATATTTACTGAGGGCTCACCACGTGCCAGGCACTGTGCTAAGAGCTTCATGTGCATTACCTCATGTAAGATGCATAATACTTACATCAATGACATAGGAGCCAGTATCATCCTCACTTCACAAAGGAGAAAATGAGGGCTCAGGGAGGGTAAGGAACTTGCTAAAGGTCACGGACAACACGTGGCAGGGCCAGGATGGGAATCCAGGCAGGGAACCTTCCAAATCCAGTTTCATAACCATTCCTTGATGCCCAGTCTGTCTGGAGGAGCTGATGCCAGGTGTTAGAGGGCTACAATTCCATCCCAAACACGACGGATGCCAGGAAAGGAAGAGGGAGGCCACGGGCCCATCCACAGGCACTGAGATTGTCCATCTGCCCTTCCTCCGGGGAGTCCTGGCCACCCCTTAGAGTAAAAGACCTAGAGACCTTTCCAACAACAAATTCTGGCAAGGAAGCGAGAAACTGCATGCTACCCTATACTTTTCCGTGGAGAACAAAGGCTATTTCCATCAAGGTTGGGGTGTTAGGAGAAATTTTTGTTTGTTTGTTTGTTTTTTGGTAGTGAGTGCTGGGAATAAAAGACCCTTCTCGAAACCACTTCCCTTTCAGATCTGCCCTGGATTAAACTCTGGAGACTCAAAGCCACACCTTCCCACTTCCTGTAGCTGGCTGGAGCACGCCCAGGTTCTCCGCGCTTAAGCTGAGAGCCTCCACAGCTGGTCAGCCTCTGCATGGGAGGTATACTCTGAGTCTGTCCTTGGCCTGCCTTTGCTTGAAAAAAAGGGAGGGCCCTTTGTCCATGGACCCATTTCCTTTTAAGTGACCTAACTTTGGATTTCCCAAAGATGGAGCCAGTGCTCAGATGCGTGCTGCACTTCCCCTCCCGCCAAACCCAGTTCAGAGTCCGGAGCTAAGGAGGGCCAAGGTTATAAGACAAGAACTGTCTTATAAGCGGCTGGGATGACAGTCCAGGGCCTCCAGCAGGCTGACAGTGCTAACCTTACAGATATAGTCTCTCACGTTAAACCCTCAAGAGCCTCACCCACATTGGTGGGTGAGGGGTTGGAGAGACCATTCTTTTTTTTCAAATTAATTAATTAATTTTTGGCTGCGTTGCGTCTTTGTTGCTGCACATGAGCTTTCTCTAGTTGTGGCAGGCGGGGGCTACTCTTCGTTGCAGTGCATGGGCTTCTCATTGCAGTGGCCTTTTGTTGCGGAGCACGGGCTCTAGGCGCGCAGGCTCAGTAGTTGTGGCACTCGGGCTCTAGAGCACAGGCTCAGTAGTTGTGGCACCTGGGCTTAGTTGCTCCATGGCATGTGGGATCTTCCCGGACCAGGGCTCGAACCCGTGTCCCCTGCATTGGCAGGCGGATTCTTAACCCCTGTGCCACCAGTGAAGTCCTGTGGAGAGGCCATTCTTGACTAGAATTCCAAAACCTCAGGAGATCTTCACAGCCCGAGTGAGCTCACGTGAAGCTATGGAAAGTGTACGAAACGGAGCCTCAAACTTGAGTTCTAATTCCAGCTCCATCAGAATTAGGTTTATGAAACGTAATTCTTAGAAAGTCACAAAAACTCCACGGGCCTTGGTTTTCTCATCAGGAAAACTCAGAAGGTTGGACTGGATGATCTCTAAGGGCTTCCAGTGCTTTTTTTTTTTTGCCCACACTGCGTAGCTTGCAGGACCTTAGTTCCCCAACAAGGGATCGAACCTGGGCCCCCTGCGGTGGAAAGAGTGGAGTCCTAACAATTGGGCTGCTAGGGAAGTCCCACAGTTCTAACTTTCTGAGAATCTAGATTCTCCTCCTCTTCCATTGTGGCAATAAAACAGAGACAAAAACTGTGGACTTACAAAGGGGTAGGATTCAATCATGCCCTCCCAGTGAGTGGCTCCGGGTCCTGGCTAAGAATGAATGAAGCAGCAGAGAGAAGGGGACCTGGACATCCCAGGGAGGCTTTCTGGCCTTTTACGCAGCCTGAGGGGGCGGCAGATAGAAGCCTGGGACGTGTCCTTGGCGGGAGCCTATGTCTCAGGAACCCTTTCAGGAAAGTGCAGACTGTCACGCTAGACCCCAGTGCTGGGCTGTTCAGAAGCAGGGTGTCTGTCCTCACTTTGTAACCCACCTCTTCCACCTGCCCAAGGAAGGGGAGGGGCCCAGGCTGACCTGAGGGAGGAAAGTGTCCCAGGATAGGAGGGCCCTATAAGCCCCCGCCTGTGTGAGGTTCTAGAGCAGCACGACTGGGAATAATAAGGCCTGGGTTCTGCCTTCCCAGCACCACCATTCACTGAGTCAAAGCTCCGGTTCTACACAAAGGCCACGTGAGTCTCGGAGTGAAAGAACTGGTTACTCACTGTTTTGGGGACAATCTGTTTCTTGGGCTGCCCAATCTTGAAAGGAATCCTGTAAGACAAAGAGTCAAAGAGGAAGGTTAGGAGAAATGGGGAAGGATGTGGCTGAAAAGACTTGATGAGGTACGGCCACTTCCCCCCTGGAAGGAGTGCCTCACTCCCGGGACTCATACCACGTGCCAGCGGGTCTAGGACCATCAGCAACCAGGCTGGGCTCCAGGAGAACGGTCCCCCATGGACAGAATCAGATGGAGGTGCCCCAGGGCATCTTTCTCTGCAATGTCTACATACATTGCAAAGGTGAAGGCAGGAAAGGTGAGATACTGTACTAGTAACAGTCACTACAAACCTTGTGTCTTGAGGAGCTGCGAAGTCAGAGGTTGCAGGCTCACCTGGACAGCTATCATCCTTGAAAACATGCCTTTAAAAAACACCGCAAAGCCCACTATCATCTGTAGCAGGTGCTTCCCTACTTCTCTATAGAGAGACAGACTGTGGAGGGCTTCTTGTGGGGCTGGGGAGAGATGACGAATTGTAGGAGCACTGAGGACCAGTCAGGCTGGGTTACTTCCCGCGAGAATTGACAACATCTAAAGAAAGCTAGCTTGGAGAAGAATCTGAATCCAGTTCAAGTCTGCCCTGAACTTGCTGGGAAGCTCTGCACCTCAGGTTCCCCACTTGGAAATGGAAGAAGGTGTGGCATAATGGAAGGAAGGTCATTGCCCAGGAGTGAAACCCTGAGCGCTAACCCCGCCTCCACCCCTGAGGAGCAGGACGCCAGGAAATGACTGCACCGGGACTTAATTTCCTACTCTGAAACAAGAGGGTTAAACTGGGTAATCTAGAAGCTTCCTTCAAGCGCTGAAAATTCTCCCATCCTACAGTTCTGAGAATTAAAGAAGCCACAGGGCATCCCCACAGCTACAGAAACGCGGCTTCTCCCACCAAGGTAGGAGTGAGTTAAGCATCCCTGGCTGGGATCAGCTCAGGGAAGAGCCCTGAGGGTACAGGTTGGACCCCACTCTCACTGCTCTCCTTCCAGTGCTCAGGACCAGTGGTCCCTTCCATTCAAACCTCCCGCTCCCACTCCTTCCCCCCACCCCCTCCACCAGGCCCCTCCCTCCACACCCCCCTCTCCCCAAGCCTGGCTTCTCTTGGCCCATACTGACCAACACTGCTGCTAAGCCCAGTGGTATAATTAACCACCGATAATAACCCCAGACAACGATCTGGTTGAGAGGATGGGCCAGCCTGAGTCACAGCAGTTTAAATATAATTTCTGGAGGACATCCTGTTTATTGTTAATCCAGCCCCGTAATTTCGGAGCGTTAACCCTTTGGGGGCTGGCTGATTCACGTGGCTTCTGTAAACAAATAATCTCTGGCTACGTAATTACCAAGGGAAGGTAAGCTATGGAATTGAAAAGGAAAGAAAAAATGAAATTGCCATTTCCCTCGCTCAGACCTGAAGAAGAAAGGTTACGAGGACAGGAGAGCCTTAGTCCTCTCCCCCAGCAACAGTTACTTCTGCCCAAATCAGGGACTCGAGTTGACTGACACAATGGTTTTGGACAGTGAGCAACTGCCCGCAAGGACCATTTTGGTGACAGTGCAAATGAGGTCCTGGTGGCATTGCAAAAAGACCGATCCTGCTCTGTGTGAAGCATGTTGCCATATAAAAAGCTCTGGACCAGGAATCAGAAACCCTGGTCTTGGGCTTCCCTGGTGGCGCAGTAGTTGAGAGTCTGCCTGCCAATGCAGGGGACGTGGGTTCGTGCCCCGGTTCGGGAAGATCCCACATGCCACGGAGTGGCTGGGCCCACGAGCCATGGCCACTGAGCCTGTGCATCCGGAGCCTGTGCTCCGCAACGGGAGAGGCCACAACAGTGAGAGGCCCGCGTACCGCAAAAAAAAAAAAAAAAAAGAAACCCTGGTCTCTGCCTCTGACTAGTTTCTTAAACAAACTATAAAACAAAGGAGCTGGACTACGTAGCCCTTTCAGCTTACCTAAAACTTGAATTCTAAACTGAATCTCCATTCCGAGCACATGGGGAGCGGAATGCGCATTCTAAAGAGCCCTCAGAGCGGTCCTCAAAGTGACCCTAACGTGGCGTCTAGTACTACAGACTAGCTACAAAGGAATTAGGAACTTAGATTCCATTATTTGTGGTGCCACAGCCTCTCTCTAAATCTTAATTTGGAATCACAGTATTTTTAGAGCTGCAAGTTACCATAGAAATTTTTCCAGTTCAACCCTCTCATTTTGGAGATGCGGAAGCAGATCTGGAGGGGTTCAGTGACTAGCCCAGGGTCACTCAGCAACAGGACCCAGAACAAACAATCAGGGTTGTAATTTCTTGTCCAGTTTTCTCTCTACTACTCACAGTTCAATACTCTTTCACGCAGATATGTCATATGTGTTTGAAGGAACTAGGAAAAAAATCATCTGGTCAAAATACCTAATCTTAAAATACTATGGAATTTAGAAAGGGTTCATTGTTAAAAGCCTGGAAATGAAAGAGGACCGTGTTATCAGGAGGAGGTTGGTGCTGAACTGGGTGCTTCTGCACAAATGAGAGGCCGTGTGAACTGTGTAGAAGGAACCAGGCCTCTGTAATCTCACTGCAGCTACTGACAATCACCTATAACTTTATCATATGATTCTGATTAGTTTTCACCTCACCTCTTCAAAAGCCATCTCCCTGTCTGAAGAACGCCTTAAAAAAAAAAGTAACTTTTGATTAGAAAAGTTTTAGATTTACAGAACAATTGTAAAGACAGTACCTAACTCCATATATCCCACACCCAGTTTCCCTTATTATTAACATCTTATATTCACATGGCATATTTGTCACAATTAGCAAACCAATCCTGAAATATTAAAGTCTACACTTTATTCAGATTCCCTTAGTTTTCACCTAACATCCCCTTTAAGTTCCAGGACCCCAGCCAGGTTGCCGCATTCCATTTAGTCATTGTCTGCTCAGACTCCTCCTGGTATTTTCTCAGACTTTCCCTGTTTTTGATGACCTGGACAGTTTTAAGGAGTGATGGTCAGGTAGTCTATAGAAATGTCCCTCAGCTGGGACTTGTCTGCTATCTTGCTCATGACTAGACTGGCGCTATAGGTTCTGGAGGGAAGGGGTGAAGTGCGACTCTTGCCACATCATACTGAGGGCTCGAGCCATCAACCCGACTTCCTACTGCTGATGTGAGTCTCCGTCACTGGGCTGAAGCAGCCTTTCCCGGGATTCTCCGATATATGGTCCCCCCCCGCTCCACGACCCCCCCACCTTTGGAAGGAAGCCACTGGGCACAGCCCACACTTAAGAAATGAAGAGTAATACTCCACCTTTTTGCGGGCAGAGTATTGGCATAAGTTATTTGGGATTCTGCATGGGAGATTTCTGTTCTCTATTTATTCATACAGTCACTTATAGCAGTATAAATGCACCGATATTTATTTTATATGGGTTATAATCCAATCCTACTTTATTCTGTTGCTCAAACTGTTCGAGCTTTGGCCGCGGGGAGCTCCTTCAGTTGCCTCCTGTGTCTTTCTGACATACCCACATCAGTGTGTGTGCGTGTGTGTGCGTGCGCGCGCGTGTGTGTGTTTTGTTTAGTACTTCCTTGTTTTCTGGACTATGAACTGCTCCAGGCTTACCCTGTACATTTCCTGAGCCAGCCCTAGAACTGGTCGAGGAACTTCCTAAACCAGCAGTCACTGTGCCTCTATAATATGGTCTCACCCCGCCTTTTAGTTTCCCTTTCCATTCACCCAGTACAACTACTCTGATTCAGCCAAGTGGCTGTTCGTTTATCCCCCAAATCTAGACGCCTTATAAACAACTTCCTGTCCCAAAGTGGAGGTCCATGTTTTAGTGTCAACATGTCATTAATAATTTCATCAGGACAAAAGGCATAAAACTTGGACTGTCCAGGGCAACTGGGACATACGGCCACCCCACCCAGAGGGAACCTTTCCCTTCTCCTGGCTTCATCAAAGCTGTTCTGACTCCCAAACCTTGCTTACCTTCTTCAAAATGTCTACGACTTTATTAGGCATTTAAAAATACTCTACCTTTTACAGTTGATTACAGTTCATCTCTTTAAAAAGTAAAACATGCTCATCAGAGAAAACTTGAAAAAGTACAGAAAGTCTAAAAGAGAGAAGAGAGGGAGAGAGAAAGAGAAGGAAAAGAAGGAAAAGAAAAAACTCCAAAATAGCCCTCTGTCTCATATTGAAAAGATAACCAAGGTTAATGTTTTGGTGTTAATTATATTTTAAACATTTTCAGAAAGAAAAAAACCTGAAGCTGATATGCCAAATGTTAGTAGTTAATTCCGGGTGGTGAGAATATGATTACTGTTTTCTTTTTTGCACTTTCCATATCTCTCAGATAAACTGAAGAAAAAAAAAATCCCTTAAGTTCTTTTCCTTGACTATAAAAATAACACCTGATCAGTGTCAAAAACTTGGAAAACCACAAAGGACAAACACACACACACAGATACACAAAATCCCAGAGAAAAAGTAATACCCCAAATTTCAGTGTGTACAGCATATGCATATTTACACAACTTTTAAAAAAAATAAAGGAAACATATATCAGGAGTGTTTTTATATGCCAATACACAAGTTTTCATCAGCCTGACTTTTAAGAGCTACCTAGTATTTCATTAATCAACTGTATCACTAATTTTCTTTTTGTAACCCACATGGCTTACATTATCATTTCAACTGCCTCAAGTTTTTCTTCCAATATAAACAAAAACCAACGGCTAAATCTTTGGGCATATCAAGGATTAGTCACATAGGATAAATTCTTAGTATTGGAATTGCTGGGTCAAAGGATGCATGCAGGTTCAAGGCTTTGATTCGCTTGCCAAATTGCCTGAGACAGGCTGAAACAGTTTACATTTTTTAAAGGATTGAAATCATTTACCACCAGTCCCAGGATTTTTTTCCTGTCTTAACGTTTACCTTTCCATTTTGTACGTGTGTGTGTTTAATGTACAGAGGCTTTTAATTTGTATGAAGCGAAACTGC